CAATGTGGCAGAAGCAAGCGCAAGACTCACGGCAACATGCTCATCCATTCGCAAGGTGGCAACTGGAGTAGTCGGATACACACCGAGCAGAAGCAAGCTACCCTACGCTACGGATGAGGTAGACAAACTCTCAGAATTGCAGAGGAAGCTGCGTATGGATCTTAATAGCACACCAAACATGAGTAGAAGAAATGAGCTGCGAGTGCAGCGTAACAGAGTGCAGAAGGAAATCCGAATCCTGTCTCGACAGCTGGCGTTACAGCATCTTGAGAGCCGCATCAGAGAAGTGGAGTCACTCAAGAACGGGCCAATGATGTTTGCAGCGATAAAACTGCTGAAACCAAAGTGCCCACGAGATTTAACCATTGTAGACAACAACGGCAAGGCTGTCCTTGGGCCAGGAGAGCAAGCGGATAGAATAGATGAGCATTACACTGGGAAATTCTCTCCTACTGCTGCAGAGCCAGCGGTTACGCCATTCACAGGAACACCGAAACCCCTCGATAAACCGATTTCCACAGCAGAGGTAGCGAGCGCAATGAGTCGTCTAAAGAACCAACGCTCCTGCGGGCCTGATGACATACCGGCCGAGCTGGTCAAATACGGAGGCCCTGCACTTGCAGAATGCCTGAGCAGCATTTTCAACGATGTATTCACTCAGCACAGCCAAGCGTCCCTTGGAGATGGTGTACTAATCGCTCTGCATAAGCCAGGTAAACCCAAAGGCCCCATGAACAATTTGCGTCCGATAACATTGCTGACTACTGCCAGAAAAATCTTGTCCCTCATCACACTTAGCCGGATCAGAGCTGACGTAGAGCGATATATATCTCCATCGCAAGCCGGGTTCCGTCAAAACAGACCAACCGCAGACATTGTGTTTTGCAAACGGATCCTGGCATCAATTGTTGAACGCTTCAACACTACCATCTACGTGCTAGGGCTGGACCTGAGCAAGGCTTTTGACACAATAAACCGCACAAAGCTGCTTGATGTCATGGAGCAAGAGAAAATTGGAGACGCGGACGGTTTACGACTGGTTAGGTACCTGCTATCTGGCACGGCGCTGACAGTTCGCGTGAACGAAGCACAGTCCGCACCTTTTGAGACAGCTCGGGGGGTCCCCCAGGGCGATGGTTTGTCACCGGTACTGTTCACGGTTTATTTGGAAGCAGCCCTACGAATGGTACGTGACCGACTGCCAGCCCGACCATCAGCAGACAACATTCTACCTGAAGAAACAGCTTACGCCGATGACGTAGACTTCATCTCCACATCAAAATCATTCCTTACCAGCGCCCTACCCGTCATCGCAGGCGTCTTCTCCGAATGGGGTCTTACCGTCAATACCAGTAAGACTGAGTGGATCCGTATTTACCTGGAACCCACTTTGGGAGATGCCACCTCTACAACATCTAGAAAGGTCGGCACAACTCGTGGTAAAGAAGCTTGGCGACAGGTGAAGACACTCGGCTCGCTATACGGCTCCGGGGAGGACGTAACGCGCCGTATTGGCTTGGCCGCAAGAGCATTTGGAGACACTCTGAAGTTATGGTTCAAACACAACCTGCTTTCTACACCCATCAAAATTCGTTTATACAACACTTTCGTTCTACCAATCTTGATCTACAACCTTGCTTGCCATGGCCTGTCCCGTGCACAAGAAAAGCGCCTAGATGTGTTTCATAGGAAACAGCTGCGGTGTACCCTTGGAATTACCTACCCAGATGTCATCTCGAATGCAGATTTATATGCTGTTACTGGCCAGTGCTCTGTATCTGAAATGGTCAAGCGGGACAGGTGGAAGCTATTAGGACATATATTACGCCAGCCAAGTGACATCCCTGCGAATGTTGCTCTCACTGCTTTCTGTACATATGCTACCAGTCAGCCCTTTCGAATAGGTGCACCCCGCTCTTGCCTCACCACAAGTCTCCAGCGAGACGTCCGCCTCACACCTATCTGCATTTTTAAGCCCAGCTGCCTTCGAGATCTCGGCACCTATGCCCGCGACAGAAAACAATGGAGTAACATCTGCTCAGCCATTTAGTCTAGTACTGCTCTTCTTAAATTTGACCTTATTACAAGACTTCTTTTCTTTTTCATTTCGTTCTCCCACTCTCACACACACATGCTCACGGTTAATTCTGCCGTCGTGAGTCCCATTCGGGACGGATACGAGAATAATAATAATAATAATAATCAATGCGTATAATACGGTATTGATATGATCAAGAGTACATAAACCTCTTGATATGATGTGAAGGCCATCATTTACATATTGATATACTGTACATGTAGGGCATTCCATTGATTGGTGACAGAAAAAACAAAAGAAATTATAGCAATAAAAACTGCTTTATGGCAGTTTTCTAAAAAAAGTTATTGTGTTCTAGTCCATGGACCTCGTCTAAAAAGTAAGAAATTAACGAAATGTGATAGCTGAAAATTAAAATTTCACACAAAACCTCACAATAATCACACACAGAATTAAAAGCTACATGTAGAAGACCTTTTCCCCTCGTGATCCTCTTTCCTATGCATGCATGTTGCCAATTGTTGGTGCAGTACAAGTTGAAGTTGAAAGCAGCATTTCAGGTGTTGTGATTATTGTGAGGTTTTGTGTGAAATTTTAATTTTCAGCTATCACATTTCGTTAATTTCTTACTTTTTAGACGAGGTCCATGGACTAGAACACAATAACTTTTTTTAGAAAACTGCCATAAAGCAGTTTTTATTGCTATAATAGACAATGCTCCTTACCATACAGTTGAAAAGGATGCATCTCACTGCCCGAGGGCCTTAAGGTAACACGGAAGGCACAACGCATCCCTGTAATCGGGCATACTCACCCGTTTGAGTCGAGAAATAAAATAAACAAGAACAGCCACAACAACAACAACGACAACAACAACAACAACAACAACAACAACAACAACAACAACAACAACAACAACAACCATCGTGAGAATAAAGAATTCAACAGCAACAACAACAGCAACAACAACAACAACAACAACAACAACAACAACAACAACAACAACAACAACAACAACAACAACAACAACAACAACAACAACAACAACAACAACAACAACAACAACAACAACAACAACAACAACAACAACAACAACAACAACAACAACAACAACAACAACAACAACAACAACAACAACAACAACAACAACAACAACAACAACAACAACAACAACAACAACAACAACAACAACAACAACAACAACAACAACAACAACAACAACAACAACAACAACAACAACAACAACAACAACAACAACAACAACAACAACAACAACAACAACAACAACAACAACAACAACAACAACAACAACAACAACAACAACAACAACAACAACAACAACAACAACAACAACAACAACAACAACAACAACAACAACAACAACAACAACAACAACAACAACAACAACAACAACAACAACAACAACAACAACAACAACAACAACAACAACAACAACAACAACAACAACAACAACAACAACAACAACAACAACAACAACAACAACAACAACAACAACAACAACAACAACAACAACAACAACAACAACAACAACAACAACAACAACACCAGCAGCAGCAGCAGCAGCAACAACAACAACAACAACAACAACAACAACAACAACAACAACAACAACAACAACAACAACAACAACAACAACAACAACAACAACAACAACAACAACAACAACAACAACAACAACAACAACAACAACAACAACAACAACAACAACAACAACAACAACAACAACAACAACAACAACAACAACAACAACAACAACAACAACAACAACAACAACAACAACAACAACAACAACAACAACAACAACAACAACAACAACAACAACAACAACAACAACAACAGCAGCAGCAGCAGCAGCAGCAGCAGCAGCAGCAGCAGCAGCAGCAGCAGCAGCAGCAGCAGCAGCAGCAGCAGCAGCAGCAACAACAACAACAACAACAATAACAACACGACAACAACTGTGATCTATTTGCGTTGTGTGTGTGTGTGTGCGTGTGTGTGCGTGTGCGTGTATGTGTGTGTGTGTGTGTGTTTGTAAAACCGTTCATGTATTGCTTCCTTTTTCAGTCCGTTTGTGAATTGCCGTTGTGATTTGCTGTGATTCGTGTTTAATTTTTCACTGTACTCTTTCAGGGACCGAGAGAAGTTTCCTTCATGCATGGAATGTTTTGATTGATTGATGAATACAGCATTTGAATTGCACTGCAGAGGCTCCGCTTCGTGTCACACAGTAGTGGCCCCTTCGTTTTCTCTGAAAACCCGCTAGAAATACCATAATTTTTAACGGAATTATTCAGTACAGTGTCACTGTGCCACAGGAAGTCGTGAGAAGCCACGACTCACTGGTTTGCTACAAGGAAGAGCTGCAGACTACAGTGCACATGTACTGTAGATCTACAATATCGAAAAAGAAAAAAAGAAAAAGGAAAAAAGAATCAAGGTGGAGCGTACAGCTAACACTTGGCCGAAAATCTAACTTTGCCAATTCTTATTATTCCGACTCCCAATCCAAGACCCACACAAACACAGCTGTGAAGAGGAAATTTCACATTTAGAATCAGAAAAACTAAATAATCAAAAAACCCAAATGCCTGTTTAAAAAATGCACTGTAAGAATGGTGATTATGTAAGGTAACGTCAGTTGAAAATATGGTGATACTGATATGATAGTTCGAACGTTGATCGCTAGGCAGTGTACACGATATGATGCAGCTATCATTCCGTAGCACTGAAACAGCAGGAAGTGTGCAAGGTGACTCTTGTTACTGGGAAGTGTCCGTACATGTAAGCACGCCATTGTTGTTTCGAACACACGACCCGACCGGTAGTAACACCAAGACTCAGCAGACTGCGCCAGCTGAGATCATACTGCGTGCGAGACAGCAGCACGAATGTGCACCCAAGCCTGTCGACTCACATCCTTCTACGTGAAAAGTGATGCAGGCTGCAAGAGAAGAAGACAAGATGGTCAGGTACAGTCATTTTAGTGTCGTGTTGGCCAAATTGGTCCACGGAATTTCTCTATATTGCGGAGGAAACTCCAAGCATTGCAGGCATACATTTGCCTGCGTGCCATTGCCCGGAATTTTGTTGGCGATATTAGATTGAGGCAGGCTCAGCTGTGTTCTCTTACTTCAGACTGTAAACAGCAGCATCTAGGTGTGTGCAAACTTTACGTTGTCCGAAATCGTGAACAAAACGTAAGTTGGTGCGATTGTATAGTACATGTACAATGTATATGTATATCTAAAGAGTCACACGGAGAGATGAACAAAGAGACTGAGTGGGTGGTGAAGTATGCAGGGAGAGAAAACCTGTACTCGCTGGAAGGGGAGGTAGAGAGACAGAGTGAGGTGAGACTGCGGACGCTGGTGATGCGTAGACTTTACTGCACTAGCTAGTACGCTAGACGAAGCGATGTCAGCACTTCAGGGATCTGAAATGGTAAAGGTCCGAAGAAACGAACTGACTCAGTCACCATCAGGACTCGAACCATGCAGCTTCTCTCTAGTTTAGGCCAGTGATGGTCAAACCGTGCTGGTAGCTGTGGCGTAGTCACCCAAGAGATATTTCATCTACTACTTCAGACTTCGAAATGCACAGTTCTTGTGACTATATCCTTATCTATATTACCCCGTGTCTTCCAACTGTTATACATAGGTGTACGTGGTTGACACTTGACGTCGTCCGATCCAGTCTATTGCTAACGTCGTAATCAGATGGCCGCCGTGTGACTGCGGACAGATCAGGATACCAGAAGTCAGGCCTCTCATTGCCTAACACACGAACATGTTCAACGTCCAGACCACTACTCTGCACCTGCTGTTGGTAGTGACGGTCACTGCCGCTTCGATCGACTTCCCTGGTGGTAAGATCATAGACTCTTAGTGATAACGTCGCACTTTGCAAGGCAAGATTTTATGTATCAGTGGCGTGTAGGTCTACACTCTTCACCTTTCCTCAATCCAAACACGCAAACGCGTTCCTTTTCTGCAGACAGAAAACTGATATACAGTGCGTATCGGTTATAGCGTGGTCGTGTAAAAGAATAAGTATACTGCCTACAAGAATGAACTCTCATGTTTTCATAACCATAACATGGATTTCATGTGCACATTTATTCTTACAAGCAATTTTATCGTACAGTAGAATATATCGGTCCTAAGAATGGACTTTGTGTAGCGAAATATGCCGGATCGTACAAAGTATATCACCTGTAGTAATAACATCCGTCCAAAGCAGTTCTGATCTGACTCGCGTTGGGTCCTAGTGCTGCAGGTTCAACTATTGTGGTCATGTAACTCATGTTGCATAGCCACATGGTAAGCCTATGTGACTGTGACCAGCCGCATGCACAGCAGCACTACCTTGTATGTACGATGATCTTCCTGCCTCTGCGCACATGCACATGATATGTCACACTTGATTTATCGTGTGTAAGAAATATCGGAAATAAGAATATCGGAAATAAGAATAGAAAGTCGTTTTCAAACACCCACGCTATAACCGATACCTACTGTAGCTTCAAGGGTCCAAAAGCGCGGGCCTTATTTGGAATGATGATTCTAAAAATTTCTCAAGACAATTAATTGTATGACCGGTTGTAACGCGGACGTGCGAACTTTGCTTCACTTCCTCCAAAATGGCACCAGGCATGTTATTAAAATGAAAACTTTGTACGCAACCAAAAGGGACTCTCTGCTTAGAAGCAAGTTAGTTGATATTCTGAGATCATCACTATTCACATGAGACTATTTCTGTTTGCTAAATTCTGTGGCTTATCGATATACATGTACATGTACGCAATCTTGAAGTATCCCTTGGACTACTCTACCATTATCTTGAAGAGCTCAATCCTACTATGTGTGTGGTATTGTCTTTTTCCTTTTCACTGCACTCCACGCAGGAGGTTGGAGGTGCAATGACGGGTCGCGAGTGGCGTACCACTTTCGCGCATTGCCGCAACGCGAGAACAGAGCTATCAACTACTGTCTCATTCGTAACATGCGATTACCGAGCATTGCAGACGAGCACACCAAGTGCCTTCGCAACTATCGCCACTCTCTCTTCCCACATCTCCTGCGCCCAGCGGAGATGTGGACGGCTCGTAATGTCAGCACACCTTTTATCTGCTCATACTATCCCGACTATGATCGCAGATTATGCCGATGGAACGCCAAACGATATTCACTGTGCAAGGAAAGATTAGGAAGAACAGGTTCGTATTGAGGTACATAACGTTTAGCTGCCCAAGTCCAGTTTATTTTGTAGCCATTTGGGAACATATAGAACAGAACCCCCCCACAAACACACACACACACACACACACACATTCGGTGTTGACGACATTGGAGCCCATTGCTTTTTTTGAATCCTGGAAGCGATGACCGGAAATTTGGCTCGTTAAATCATGTCTAGCTCAAGGTCTTGCCAAACAGTGACGTGGACGATAATTTACGCTTTATCCGTAACAAATGCGCTCCCATGCGCAACTTACTGCACTCTTCAATTTTTTAGAAAGTGATTTTTAAAAATGTGCTCCCCTGGTTCTTTCCAACTCGTCGTCGACATGCAATATCATTATTTTTAAACAATGTGGTCTCAAACCTCCATGGGCATCGTTCTGATTCTCGCTCCACATACACCTACATAACGACATGGACCCAGACAACAGAGGCAGGAGCACACAGAGTGAGGGTAGTAGGCCGCAGCCAGATGTGAACCGGAATGCAGAAGAAAACTAGGAGCAACTACAGGGGGACAGACCCCAGGAGGAAGGAATTAGTACATTCATCTAACATAAATAAGCCAGGACAAGCACCACTTGGGACCGTCAGATTAATTTCTCTGGACCGAGCCAGCCGGGAAAAAACCCTCGCGCCGACGGACGCACGAATGAGGGAAAAACCGGGTGTATAACCCCAAGTGGCAACATGGCAGCATAAAAACAGGCACAACATATCTACAGCCAAAAAAGAAATGGAAGAAGATGGGCAGCCATGAAGGGTGGGAGGGTGGGGACACTGGTGAGACACAAAAAACTGACTGAAGGAGCCAGGCAAAAAGAACAGCAACAAAAAGAGAAAACATCAGATTCCATATTCGCAAGAAAAATAATTTTGTTGCACGAGAAATCATTTCTCGCCTCACTCGCTCCGCTCGGCCGGCGAGAAATATAACTTCTTACTATGTCATGATGCGGTTCCAGACGGTGTATTTTAGGATCTTTCTGACGCATACCCAGACGTTTCAGGTTCAGAGTTTCAGGCTAAGAGATCCCTTAGGCAACAAAACGGATAACGTGTATCTAAATCCGGTACACTCAATCTGAGGCAGGAACTGTTTCGTTCTTTGTGGACTCATGAGCGCAGCACAGAGGAAATGAGACCGAACCTGATAGCAATGAAAATACATTTTCCGAAGCCAGATTTAAACCAGGCCCAAACGTACATGTACCTTGCCAGAGTGCTCAAACTGACAAGTCAGTGAGCTCTGCATAGCGCAAACAGCAAAGACACTACCCCACATACATGTAAGAGTGCTCAACTGCTACAAGAGCAGAAGCGAAATACTCAATCTGCGGTCAGAACCGTTTCGTCCTCTGTGGACTCATCGGCGCAGGACAGAGCAAATGAGGCCGAACCTGATAGCAATGAAAAATACAATTTTCAAAGCCACGCGAATACTGTATCTACAATTCATCTCTGCTCCCTGTGTATCTCCAACTGATCTCTGCTCCCTGTGTATCTACAACTGATCTCTGCTCCCTGTGTATCTCCAACTGATCTCTGCTCCCTGTGTATCTCCAACTGATCTCTGCTCCCTGTGTATCTGATCTCTGCTCCCTGTGTATCTACAACTGATCTTTGCTCCCTGTGTAACTGATCTCTGCTCCCTGTGTATCTACAACTGATCTCTGCTCCCTGTGTATCTGTGTATCTACAACTGATCTCTGCTCCCTGTGTATCTGTGTATCTACAACTGATCTCTGCTCCCTGTGTATCTGTGTATCTACAACTGATATCTGCTCCCTGTGTATCTGCTTCACAGTATTATCCACAGTATGTGACCTTCGGCCAGCTCCAGAGAATGGCTACGTGTCCTACCCGTCCGGAATCTCTTACCCATCTGTAGCTCAGTATGGGTGTCGCCGGAACTTCACGCTCATCGGACGGACCAGGATCTCCTGCAACCGAAGCGGTCTGTGGCAGTATCCACAGCCTGTTTGTGCAGGTAAGAAAAAGTGACTATATCAACATAGGCTGCGTACAAAACTGGAAAAAACTTTTTAATTCGTTGCGACTTGTAACCCAACTTGGATCTATTACATGTATACACATTCATATTTTCGCACTAATTATGCGGTCGAGTCCACTGTAATAGGTAGCCGAGTGGAGGCAATTAGCCAGGCAGGGATACTACATCCACCAACTAAACCAGATTTTGACCAGTCAGAAGTGAATGATCTAGCTCGAACCTGACAGCGTGTACTGAGACAATTCACAGCATGGAAGTCTGCTTGAGTACTGCTCGATAGTGCTACCCAACAAGTCCCCTTGGCGCACCGTCTGGGTTCATATCTTGGCTCACCATCTGAGTTCTTATTTCCCTATGAATTTTAGTTATTTTCACACTCAGTGCTGCCATCCTCCCCCTTTAACTAACTTCCTCATAACTAATAATTACTTGGAAACATCCAAGCCTGTTGGCTTGCGCATCGAAACGTGATAGAGCTAAACAAGACTGTCGGTACCACTTCAACCAGTATTGTGTGAAATATCGCGCCTACTGATTTCTAAAGTGTATTGGTTGTAGCCCCTTCCGTCACACGAGCAGGTCAATAGGCAAGGCATCTTTGGACTGAGGAGCTCCTGTTACCGGAATATTGATCTGCAATACTGAATGCAAGCAATGTAGCTCAAGACAGAGCCGTAGCAGATAGCTAGAAAACACCAGTGGTGAGAGTGGACCCGATCAATGGGTACAATCATAATGGCGCTAGTGAGCCGGTTGGATAGGGAGAGATGGTGGCAAAAGAAAATGCTGCTGAAGCAAGATCAGTTGCCCGAGCTGGGCAAGGACATTTTGCTGATTTCGTGCACTATTAATTTTTGAGATTTCGCAGCAATAAACTATCTGACGTTAGGCCACCCTTTGTTAATTCATTGTTTAACGTCCTTTTTTTCGCGAAAAGGTACGCGGGAGGGCGGAAAAAAAACAAAAGCCCATTCCAAAAACTGGAAACCCCAATCAAACATTTTGACCAGTAAAGCATGTGATATATACAATATTTCTGGGTCTAACGGCACTTGCAGGCATAGAACAACACTCTTTGATGGTACATTGGAGCACATGCCTGATGCCGGAATCCAACAAAACAGGTACATAGCATGGAGTTAGCATGTCATGAATTCATTACATCTGGATTTTTACTAGGACACACACCGTACGATATTTAAAAGCCAACAAAAAAAGAAAAAGAACACAAGACAAAGGCATGCCCGGGAGGCAAGATTATAAGTTTAAGGTCATGATCGGCGCACTGTGAAACTACACAATCATGTATTTACAACTACGCATATTATTGGTACTACTACTTTCTTGGGTTTTTTTCGGTCGGAGGCAAAAAGGTACGCGGGCGCGGACGTTAAACAACGAAAAAAGAAAGGGTGGCCTTAGTCTTGAATGCCGTAAAATGCAATGCAATGCAGCGCGCGCCAGTTGGGATTGTTGCTAACGAGTAACAGGGCAGCTAGCACCCCAATAGTACTGGACAACTACTCATAACTCTTTTTTAAGTTGGTTCTTTCTATTCAACGTAGCTGAATCTTTGGCTTTCCATTAGACTCCTTTGAATTCTTCAAACACACTTCAGGTACTCAGGATCTGGCTGTTGACGAGTTGAACGTCTCCATAAACGCGACAATTGTCAACTGCCCCAGTGGCTTTGAGTTCCACAGTCGAACCAAGGCAGTTTGTCGTGCCCTGGCGGACGAATGGCTCCACATCAACATCACCGTCCCAGAAGGTAGGCCTGGCCAGATGTTGTGAGATATTGAGCGATTAGTTGTTGGCTGTGACATAAAAAATGTTCTGGAAACATAACTCTTGTACTTTGATCGCAATGCTTGTGATATGAACGCGCAATTTAAAACATTGTTCATCGCTGTGATTACTATCTCCACGCTGTCTATTTAGTTGTTGATTGTGCGGCTTTCTGTCTCTTTACTAGAAGACACAATTGAGTCAACCTCGACAATACCGAAACTCCGCAGGGTATGAGGATAGTGTTGTTTTTGCGGTATTTAACGCTATTCTCGAAAGTACCGTAAAAGTCCGTAAATAAGTACCTGCCCGAAAGAAATACCCCCTTCATTCTTTTGGCTCTGTCTGTTGAGGTCAAGTCAAGCCCGATAAACACACAGCCCGAAATAAGTACCGGTACGGTGCGCACATGCAGCACGTAGCATGTACATCGACATGAAAATGACTTCTTCTCCACTAGACCCAAGTCAGGTCCGAACGTTAGTTCGTGCCCGAAAGTCAGTACCCACCTGAAAGTTAGTACGGGTGTGGTCACTAAATTCGAAAGTAAATGCGTACTTATTTAGGGACTTTTACAGTATGTACAACGCTCCATATGCGCAAGTGGATACCAGCTATAAGGATAGCATCTACATTTGCTTGTTATTATTGCCACCGAGGTTGTTATTTTGCGAGGTTTACCGCGGTAATATTGTGAATAGACCAAAGCAGACGCGTATTCGCTCTCTTCTATAAAAGTACGTGTACGTTTTAAAGTACAGAATTTGAAGTAACTTTAAAATCAAATGAAGTAGAGAAAATCGTCACCAATACCAAGAAAACGGCCTCAGAGTTTTATTCCGTCGTGTGCACGCGTAACGCCCCACCCCTCCCCCATGTCTTGAATATACATCTCCAGATTCTCCACGGAATTATGTTGAAGACTGTGTTAGCAAGCTGAGGTCATTTAACTGCATCGAACTCTCTTTTTCTATTTTCTCAGGCGTACATGTGCCTGTCCCTGTAACTGTGCCGGATGATGGCCCTACTGCCAGTACTGGAAAGTCTGACACTGGAACGTCCAACGTGGAAAACAGCTGCAAGGCCTCGCCGGCCTCTCCGACGTGGATCAAGCAGAGCGGCAGCGTTGTCGCCGTATGCGTTATCTGCATACTTCTGCTTGTGATTGTAATCCTTCTCCTGAGTCGAGCACAGGGCAAGCTGAGTGCCGCCGAGAGGTTCACTACGAGCATGTTGAACCGAATCACCGCCAGCCGCAGCAATGAGGAAGCTGTACAGGAGGTTAGCACCGCTCCAGAACAGGCACATGCCATCCCAGGACGCACGAGCTACACCCAGGTGGAAATCGTATCCAATCCGAGAGGCCGGCGCACTGGCCAGATAGAGGCTGGTGAAGAATCGGCCACCATGGGAGCATCGTTGCACACCAGTAGTAGTACTGGTGAGAACACACAGCAACGCATCAGCTACTCACAGGTGGTGCTGAAAAGTGACAGAAATCCTACCTCCGGCGCAGAACCGTCCGCTGTTTGAGTGTAGGTAGGGGAGATGTCTTGGCACATGACATTCATCGTTCCACTTATTATTTCAACTCAATTAATTATTTGCAAAGCGTTCACGGTGTGGGCACGTACGAACGATTGACTCAGAGTAAACCATACATGTAGTCAAGTTACTGGTACATTCTTCCATTGCCATGATCCGCTGATTCTTAAAAGCTCAAAATGTTATGGAACATTGCCAGGGTAAACCTGTACACAGTGCATGATGCACTGCTGAATGGTTTTGAGAATACAGGACGTTTTGATGTCGATCTCGTCTTTAGATCTACATAGTAAAATGTCATGTACGTGTACATGTATGTTCTGGACTCATGCTTATACATTCAGCTTTCTTATTCTTCCCTTTCTCGTACATGCATTTGCCCCATCCGTATGTGTGCGAACGCGCGCGTGTGTTGTGTCTTTTCTCCACGTGCGCTTACTTTTCTTTCTCTTTCCGTCTCTCATTCTCTATCCCGCTTTCTGTCTCTCACCCCCTTTTTTGCGTTCAGTCGACCACAGTGCATGTGCATGTGCGTGCGCATACTTGTGCGATGGTTGGATTCTGGAGTAAATATTTAATATCTACATGTAGCGGTTCACATAATGAATGGGTTAACAGTGTGCATAGTGGTGTAGATGTAGTAGGGTCCGGCGGATTCTGCCGGCAGAAAATTGGCAGAATTCGGTACTTTTTCTGGTAAGTTTCATGCATGTTTGGTATGTGGATAAAAAAATGGAGCAGAATTCGAGGAATTGCCCGCCATAAGGTTTGTATGGTTCTGCCAATTCCACTGCTTTCCGAGCAGAATCTGCCACCTTTTCAAGCAGAATCTGCCGGTCCCTAAGATGTAGTCAGCAGTGGCATGATTGGAGAGGCTGTGGCATTCAATTATTTTACAGAGGCACTAGCGATAGCCCTTTGCGGATATGTACTTTATCTGGTATGTTGCATGCATGTTTGGTACAGTGTACATGTACATGTATGTGGATAAAGGAATGGAGCAGTTTTCAAGGTTAGTTTCTACCCGATAAGGTTTGTATGGTTCTGCCATTTTTGCTGCTGTCCGATCAGATCAGAATCTCCCAATTTTGGAGCATCATCCGCCAAGGCTACTACTGGGTACTACTGAGAAAGCTGTTGCAACTTTGGTGCATGTTCCACAATGCTACTGCAGGCCATGCTGGTTTTCTGCTTGAAGTACGCCAACAAACACATTCATGTACATGTACATCATAACATCTTTTAAAACGTCCACCTCTCCACGCTTCTCTCTTGGCCCGCAATTCACAACACCACTAGATAGCGATGAGGTTCGTTCTTTGGTAGATGTTTCCTATACTCCAGCCCGCGTTTTCGCTCATCAAGAGCTCCTCACTGTAGGTACATGTAGATGACGAATGAATAATAGGTAAAGGAATGAGTATATTTATAGGGTAAAGTGGCGCAATTGCGCACTTTATACATAGAAAAGTGGCATACCCATGTTCTAACGGTGATGACCATGATGACGAAACGCACAGTGCTGCAGATGGCGCTAGACAAGCGCGTGAAGCAGAAAATCTATTACAGTTGAACATCGATTATCCGCACATCGACTATCCGACCATTCGATTATCCGTAACAGTTTTTTGGGGCGCACGTGCCGTAGAGTACGCACTGTGCATGTAGTGAGCCATTCAAAAAATACGAAAATTTTGAAAAGTAAAAAGTAAAAAGGTCGTGCGGCTAGTAATAACCACTGAAAGTGTGTGAGTGACAGTTTTTTCTTATCCGGAACATTTGCCTTATCTGAACACCGCCTGACAGTTGTCTGCCCAGAGGTGGTCGGATAATCGATGTTCAACTGTACAAGTATTAGAAGTTCACACTAACCATGCTAACGTTGCCACACATACATGTACATGCAGAATGATAGATTGAAGTAACGGTCCCATAGTGACTTGACCATGGTGACGACGAGGTGAGAGAAACGGAAGGCCAGACGACGCGACTCCCAGACTCCCGTAGGGCATTCACTGCACTGCCCGCCCCCCGTGTGAGGTTCCTCCGCTGCCACTCCTGCCGTTGACTACAAAGTAAAAGTTGTTGTTACACTTAGAGAGGTTAAGATGCACGTTATTTCCGACGTGACGCGAAAGTTCAGCTCGCGTTATTTGGCTCGAGCGTCGAAAAACAACGCGAGTGACCTGCAGTTCACGTCAAAACTTGGAGTTTTACGCCAAATTTGACGTGAAATTACGCGTCGCGTCGGAAATAACGTGCATCCTCTCTATTGTAGGCGAACACGTGTAAACTGAAAGAGTTTGTTCTTCAAAGAAGATTCATGAATGCTGATCTGTTTGACTTCATGGAAAAGTCATTTTGGATTGTGGAGTACTGACTGATTATGCTCGAAAAGGTGGCAGATTCTGCTCGAAAAGCAGTGAAATTGGCAGAACCATACAAACCTTATGGCGGCCAATTCCTCGAATTCTGCTACAGTCAACTTCGCTAATAACGACTGCGGATATAACGACAATTCGCGAATAACGACAGAATTTTCATGCCCAGAGCAAAGTCCCATCCCACTGTAATACATATAATGAGACTTCGGGTATAACGACACTTCGCGAATAAGGACACCTTTTTGATGCCCCGCCGAGTGTCGTTATAAGCGAAGTTGACTGTACATGTCTTTATCCACATATCAAACATGCATGAAACTTAGCAGAAAAAGTACCGAATTCTGCCAATTTTTCTGCCGGCATAATCCGCTGGTGCCTAGTACTGACCTTTGCGATGAATGATAAGAGATGTTTTTAACGCACTCATCTTCGTCCTCTCGCCGTCTTGACTCTTGGCGTGTGGTGCGGCATGTACAATGTGCATGTACATGTACATGTAGCTGCATTGCAGATAAGTATTACTACTACATGTACTACTACTATTAGTTACATGTACCTGGTTACTGCTTCGTTCTAGTGGTGTCGTGTGCTGACGGCACACGTCGAGCAGTGATTTTACTGATTTTCGGTGGGACTGTACTGTAGCATTGGTGCTGTTCCACAGTGTTGGATTCTCCACATGTCACAGTGACCGTAGAGGCGCAGACGGCACTCATTGACAAAGCCCCGGATCGCCTAGGCAAGTACGAGGCCCGGCAATACGCGGAAACAGGTGACGATTGACGAACCACCTGAAAAAAGCAGGCACGTGACCATCATGACATTAGGGCATCATCGTACAAACTCAGAGTGAGTGCGTCACCACTACGCACTAGCAGTACAAAAACACATTGTCATTGTTGTAGATGCGTCAAGACGGTGTCATGGTGTCGTTGCAAGCAGTTTACAGAGTCTGACTCTGAGTGCAGTGGACTATGAGCATGAGGTCTACAAACAGTACAATCATGTAAATAAAACTGAAAGATTTGTTTTTCAAAGAAGAATTTCGAATGCTGATCTGTTTGCCTTCATGGAGAAGTCATTTTGGAGTGTGGAGTACTGACCTTTGGGATGAATGATGAGAGCTGTTTTTAACGCACTCATCTTCGTCCTCTCCGCCACAATTTCGGCGTGTGGTGCGGCATGTAGCTGCATTGCAGATAACTGCTTCGTTCTAGTAGTGTCGCGTGCTGACGGCAGACGTCGAGCAGTGATTTTACTGATTTTCTGTGGGACTGTAGCAGCATTGGTGCTGTTGGATTCTCCGCTCAGCTTTCTCAACGAAACTCGCCCGCTAGTGAAGCGGGTTGCCAGTCGCGCTAGGACTGGCGAAACCCGTTTGCCTGCGAGCTCTTCCACGAATTCACGCCATGGGCTTAGAGAACCCAGCTCGAAGGTTTCAAACTCCTTAGTTGGCATTGCAGGTGATCCAGCCGCGATTTCGCAAGTTGCACGAAAGTCAACGAGCGCTAGCAGAGAAGTGAGGAGGCATGGGCCTGAGCATGATGTTCGGCAGCTCCGAGACGAAATGGTTAGTCAATAAGTTCCATTCATCTGGAATGTTCAAGCCAACTGCTGTTTACTGCATGTAATGTTACTAGTATCATAAGAAATATTTTTTGTTTCGACCAGTAATTATTTGGCTCATGGTAAATTGAGATATCTAATGATGAACACTGGGGCATTCCTTATCCGTTAGAATTGCACTGAATCTCATCATCATGCCCTAAAATATCTGAGTGCTCCCAGTTGTTATTGTGCAAGATCGTGCACGTCCAACTGATCAAGATAATTATGTGCATATTATTTTACGGAAATTTAATGCACAAGCCCCAGTCGATAAAGAGGGGAGGGGAAGAGACAAAAAAGCACAGACAAATCACGCACACCTAATGACATAGAGCGCAGAAGGTATCCGTGCTGGTGATGTACACCGGACTCCTTCGACCAGTGGTCTGGGCTTCCCTCAATGCTGCACGGGGCGGGGGGGGGGGGGGGGGGGGGGGAAAGTAAGAATATTCTGAATTAATTTAGAAGTCAAGAACTGAACGTAAATTGAATGACAAGGCAAAAATAAGAGTGAGGACCGACAGTGCTATCGGTCGCCTTTCGGTATTTTGAGATATCTCTAGGAACTGCAGTTGCATGTCACTTACCAGCACTCGGTCAGTCATCTGGCCCGCCGGCTATCCAACAGCTCAATGGCAGTTCGTATACTACGTATTTGACGAATACTAGTAGTACAGTAATACCTGCGACCACCCCTTTGGGTCCAGAGAAAGCGGTCTTTAGTGGCAGGTGGGTCCTTAGTTACTGTAAATCATATTATTTTAACGACCCGCAAAGTTAACGATTTTCTGATTTTCGAAGGTTAACGGTTTGAAAAGTTAACGATTTTCTCAGACAGATGCAATAATACTAGGAATGCTCATCAAGAACATTCATTGTTGTCCATCAAAGTATACCTCGATGTCAGGAGAATAAAGAAAATGAAATTTATCCAGCATAAGAGAGTAAAATGTTCATATTAACGATCTCCTGCGGCTTCGTCAAAAATCATCTGAGAGACTTCGGAATTGTTTAAGCCGACTGCTGAGCGTCTCTGCTATCATCTAGATCTTTTGATTATTGAATTCCATTGAGAATTGACTGAGTTACGATCCGTTGAACACGCGCTGCATACCATAATGTGAAATGATCGATTTCAATCGTGCGAGGCCCAAACCATACGACTTTTGCTAACGAATTTTAAAATAACGATAAATCTTTGCTCGTTAACTCGTTAGATTTACTTGTTCGTTACATATTCATGATTTACAGTAGATAGGTTTGCATCGCACTACCATAATATGAGTGTGGGACTGTCCGAGCCTGGCGAAGTGGTCTGTTGTACCGGGCTGGTCGCTAGTCATGGTGGTCTGTTGTACCAGGCTGGTCGCTAGTCACCACGGTGGTCTGTTGTACCAGGCTGGTCGCTAGTCACGGTGGTCTGTTGTACCGGGCTGGTCGCTAGTCACGGTGGTCTGTTGTACCGGGCTGGTCGCTAGTCACGGTGGTCTGTTGTACTGGGCTGGTCGCTAGTCACGGTGGTCTGTTGTACCAGGCTGGTCGCTAGTCATGGTGGTCTGTTGTACCGGGCTGGTCGCTAGTCATGGTGGTCTGTTGTACCGGGCTGGTCGCTAGTCAAGGTGGTCTGTTGTACTGGGCTGGTCGCTAGTCACGGTGGTCTGTTGTACCGGGCTGGTCGCTAGTCACGGTGGTCTGTTGTACCAGGCTGGTCGCTAGTCACGGTGGTCTGTTGTACCAGGCTGGTCGCTAGTCACGGTGGTCTGTTGTACCAGGCTGGTCGCTAGTCACGGTGGTCTGTTGTACCAGGCTGGTCGCTAGTCACGGTGGTCTGTTGTACCAGGCTGGTCGCTAGTCACGGTGGTCTTTAGGTAAAGGTTTTACTTTATCTCAAGTAGATCAGAAGACACTCAGCATCATCAATGTTGATTTAATGCAGCGTTACCTAAAAGCCTGTCACCGCAACTAATTATACCGTAGAATCCCACCAGAGCACCCCTACTTCCGCGACCCTTCTACTGTCGTGGACATGGAAATCCGGTCGCACGTCTAGCGGCCCCAGGGCGCTGGCCATGCAGCCGTGGATAAGCGGCACACACATGCATTTATGCGCTGCAGCGTGCTGGTCGCATCGGATCAACATGACTTGTGCACTGCACGCAGCGTTCTGTACGCGCTGAGGGCGCCGGCCCCGGTCCATCGTCATGTCCGGTACAGTAGTAGGTCCAGGTGGGGAGTAGCGGATGAGCTAGTCACACTTGCCGCAATCAGTAGTACATTAACAAGTACTCACCGTACAACAACTATGTGTGTGTCTCCTACACCGGCCAGAGGTGAAGAGCGGGGAGTCGTACCACCCCCGTCGACACCCAGGGTTTTGTGCGATCTCTGGTCAATAGGGTGCGAACTGGCGTGTACATTTCCAACTGGGTCGAGCACGCGTGTGCAGTGCAGTATATCACACTTTCATACCATGATACAATCAGTATCACTTCCCTGACTATACGTCAGGAAGGGGCATGGGAGAGATGGGGCGCTCTGGCGGGATTTCACGTTACTAGTAACATAGCATAAAACTACACGTAATACCATGCTCAACAGCTCCTTCCGGGTCGATCCCTGAACGCTGAAACCTCTGCATTCGTTTGGTTTCAGTCTTTCCCATGTTTGTGCATAGATCTGCTAACCCCTGCGAATCTCTTTGTGTCTTGTGCCTTCCGCGTTTGTCAGCAAGAAGAAGTGTTTCAGAACAACCACGACACAGGTGCTCTGGACCGGGTGGAGCGCGTGTCGGGACACTGCAGCAAGAATCGCACATTGCTGCTTCTGTACGCCGGCACGGGCATGGTGTCGTTCCCGGTGCGCGGCGAGCGCGAGTTTCTGCAGTACTGCCCGGACCTGTGCGTTGTGTGGGAGAAGACGGACTCGATGAAGTAAGTTTGACTGGCTGGCAAGCACGGACTTTGATGTTCTCAGGTTATCCCACCGTGGGTATCGGAAGGCATTTCAGTGTGGTCAGCCAGCTGACGTACGATGAACTCGTGTGGAGTAAACCCTGCTATAATGTTTCCCAATCGTGTATTTTATAAACTCACGGGGTACCTGTGTCGAAGAGTGGTACGGCTCTTGTCGTAGTGGCCGTATCATGTCTGACACCCATGTGCTTTGATTGTCTCGTTTATAGTAAAGCCAGCTCTTATGCTTATTTCTGCATGGCATTGAGCCCATTTCTCAAGACTAAAGTTTCATACGGCTACTTGCGCATTTGGTTCTTGGAGCACCGTACCCGGCCAAGCTTTGTCTGCTGATCTGGAGATGTAGAATTGCATTCCACATCTCGATAAACATCTTCAAGGGGTTCCCATGAAATGGATAGTGTTCATCACCACTCGTACAGCGGCGAACCTCACTCCTTGTGCAGATTTGGGCACTGTTGAACGATCACTGATATTCTACTCTACCCACACGTCAAGTTGCCACTCATATGTTTAGTGTCCTCACGGACACCTTACAACTCGCACCCCAGCCACGCACCTTGGGTAATATTGAAACACAGGAGTAGGCTGTTTCGCTTTGACGGACGGTTTCATGCGCTGGGCATTCTGATGGATGATGGCCTTGAGAGTCAACCCTAAAGTTACAGCGAAACTGTCCACCGCACTCTGTCGAGCTGCCCCAGCTCACCCTTAGTGTGCATAGGTCATAGTCAGTGCACACTATTTGAATCCTGAAATCCATCTGCATGTGTTTTCATTGTCGCTGCCTGTTCACCCACCCCACAGGTACGATGAAACGGCTGACGTCGTGCAATCCGGCTCACACTACAGCCACGGGCGCAGCAAGCGCAAGAAACAGCTGTCGATGTTCTTCACAATGGAGAGCCCGATGCACTCGGGTCTAGGCAGTGCGGGGGTGATGAACAGCTTCAATCTGAAACGAAGCTACCACCTGGACAGCGATGTGTTTGCTGCCTACATACCGATAGGCGAGAAACACCTGAAAGAGGTCAGTACTTGTAGATGTACTGTAAATATACAAAATTTCGGCGGTGCAAAATTTCGGCTTTTCACGATTTTTGACATTTCGGCGGCGATTTATTTTCGGCGTGGGGTAGAGGGCATGGTATAGTGCGACAGATGCTGCGAAAAATTTCATCGGTGTTTTAATTTAGGCGTTTTGGGTCGGTGCCGAATATAGCCGAAATTAAATAGCTGCCGAAAATTTGTATATTTACAGTACACAACAGAACAACAAGGACAATCAAGGCTTGTTTGCTGCTACTTTAAGTTTCATGCTCACGCAATCATCAGGCAACATGAAGATCGGGTGCCGACCATGCCGGTATATATGCCAGGAGAGAGTGGTATAAAAAGCTGTGTGAGACTGTGGGGGCTAGCGCGGTAGCGGTGGTGTTTTAGGCAGGGGCTGTGTGCAGAGTGTGTGGTTGTTGAAGGCAGGGGCTAGCAGTGCAGTGTTAGCGCAGAGTGTGTGGTTGGTGTGGGCAGGAGGTGGTGAACAATGCGTGTGGATGTTGTAGGCAGGAGGCTGTAGAGCTAGCAGTGTGATAATAGCGCAGTGTAAATGTATATGGCTGGTGTGGGCAGGGTGTTATGAGCAAGGTGTGTGAACGTGAATGGTGTGGGCAGGAGGCTGTGGAGACATGTTTAGGTGACACCATGGTTTTTTAGGAGATACTTGTTCTCGTGTCGGCACTTGGACACCATTTTGGAGCGCTTGTTGAGGCTGGACGGTGACCCTAGCGTGTTCAGGATGTGATACTTTTCTCTGGCACAGAGGGAACACCGCTTTGTGATGTTGGAGTATGCCCGGGCGCGATCTTTTATCCTCCATTCGACTTCGTATTGGGCGTCGGATTTCTTCAGCTTCCAGATGTAGTTGGAGAACTCAGTGCAGCTGGAGTACTTCTCGTATCTTGTTGTAGTCATGTGGTTGGCATGGCGTGACTTGAATGGTGGCGCCGACATACCGGTGTATTCCTTTTTGGTGGGGCCTGACGTTATGGATGCCACATATATCAGCTCCGTCGTTTGGCATTCACCGTTGAGTGGACAAGACGGCTTGTCTCGGCAGTTGCAGAGCTTCTCCGGTTTTTTCGTTTGCGGGCAGAGAACCGCACCATCAAGATAAGCTACAGTTGCATGCCAAATATGGCTGCACGCATCAAAAGCCACAACAAAGCGGTTCATGTTGCCTGATGGTTGCGTGAGCATGAAACTTAAAGTAACAGCGAACAAGCCTTGATTGTCCTTGTTGTTCTGTTGTGTATTACGCTCTGCCTTTGTGGTGTTGAGCACTGTCAGCACTCTGGGTACGTCCTTCGGTATATTTACAGTACCGTATTTTCCCGAAAATAGGCCCCGCTCAAGTATGAAACCCCCCCCCCCCCCCCCCCATTTCTTGGATGATTTTTTTGTGTTCAGAGTGCGGCTTATACTCCGGGAAATACGGTAGAAGAGTGTTTGATGTCATGTCTTTTTTCCCGATTTTGAGCGCTGCGCCTGTGGTGAAATCTGTGCAGGTAGAGGTAGCTGCGGCCATGAGCAAGAACAAGTACTTGTTTCACCAGTACCATTCACGAAATATGCATACTTCTGGTGAATTTTCTTGTATTTGGATATATCTGATACATTGTCTGTTTCTCGGTGAGGACTAAGCTAGCGTTCGTGTCCTGTTCAACTCCTCTGTTCAAACCACTGGCTTCAAAGTCAACATCCGATCTCATGTGCATCTCTGTCTTTCTCTGTTTTTGTCTCTACCACACGAAACACACACACTCTCTGATTGTTTGTCGATCTGTCTGTATGTTTCTCTTCTGCACAAACACATACTCTCCCTCTGTCTCTGTGTGTCTCTTTCTGTGTCGCGCTCTGTGTCTCTCACTCCATCTGGCTCTCTCTCCCGCGCTCTCTCTCTCTCTCTCTCTCTCTCTCTCTCTCTCTCTCTCTTTCTCTCTCTCCCGCTCTCTCTCTCCGTCTCTCACTCTCTCTCTCTATCTCTCTCTCTCTCTCTCTCTCTCTCTCTCTCTCTCTCTCTCTTGTGCGCGCTGTGTATCTCTCCCGTTCTATCCTTTTTCTCTCCTAAACTGTAGGTGGTAGCTCCTCCACCAATGAAGTTTGGAGATAAACTAAAGAATGCGATGGCAGCAATAGTCTCCAACTGTGGTGCGCCAAGTGGACGGAGTGGACTGCTGAGAGAGCTCATTGCTGGCATGGATGTGCACAGCTTTGGCTCATGCCTACACAACAAGGCACTGCCTCGTGACCAGGTAAAGTTCGATACTGACATTGACCAAAATCCACATGCGCCCATACAAACATGGCTACTTGACTGTGTGCACACATGCATGCGTATGCGGGCGTACGCAGTTGGCTCTCGACCTACAGTTGTGCTCGGTGAAATCCGACCAGAAGTGCATATTCAGTGCCCTGAACATACAGTGTCACGGATGCCCAGAAGTGGTTCTAATAAATTTAAAAGGCTAGATGTACACATACACTAGTAAAGTGATGTAATCGGAACTGGTCCAGGGCGCCGGTTTTGCACTTTGGGTCGGATTTCAGTGAGCGCAACTGATAATCACGCGCATACACACACACACATACACCCACACACACACCCACATACACACACACACACACACACATACACACACACACACACACACGTGTGCACAATCACTAACCCTGCCCCATGCCCGACACGAGAGAACCACCGCGCAGATTTGCTGGCTGGATGTCGTACGCCCGCTGATTTTCTCCTATAGAGGTTATGCGATTGAATCGCCAGCTCAGATGCGTTCGCATTCGCAGCATTGCGATGCACTGGCTAAAGTGAGTGTGTCAACTCCCGCTGTAATCAACCGTCACGTTCACTCTCGCTGGATACATAGCGTTCATAAGGGATTCTGATGATTCCCACCATGACATCATCCGCATAGTCTCTATAGCGACGACCGTGGAAAAGATCTGAATGAAGCACACACGCCTTCCTTCCTCCCTTCTTCCACTGCCATGACTGGCTATGTGGCCCCCATAAGGAGCAGACAAGGAGGCGTGTTGTCCACCAGGCGGGGAACGCACGCGCGCACACACACGCACACATACACATACACACACATACATACATACATACATACATACATACACATCACACACATACACACACACACACGTGCGCACACACACACACACACATATTATAGGTCCTAGACCTTGGCATGGGCTATGCACTGTAGTTTTCAGCTGCATCTAGTTCATCTTTTCCCATTGTTGCCAATTGTTGTGTTGCTCGTTTCCTATTCCTATATTCCCCATTCCATTGTGTTTGTGCTTGCAGGCATCTAAAGGAGGCTCGCTGAAGATTGTGCGCACGTACAAGCTGTACTTTGCCGTGGAGAACTCCCTGTGTAAGGACTACGTCACGGAGAAGCTGTGGAGAACGCTGTACCACGGCGCCATTCCGGTCGTCACGTCCTACTCCAACACGCCTAACTACACCAAGTTCACGCCCAACGCGCAGGCCTACATCAACTTGGAGCAGTTTGCGAGGTAGGATTGAGTGCTGTGTGTGTAATCGTCTAGTGCTCTCTATCATGTCGGCAAAAACGATTCGGAATTTCTACATGTTTTGGTCGATTTGCAGTCCAGTCAGAAACCGATGCACCCTATTCAGTCTGGGCATATTGCGTTTAGCGTTAAGCTTTGATTGTGAGCGATTCATTGCTATAAGCGATGTATCACTATGCCCGATACTACATGCACTGTATGCATCTGGGACATCGAGGGACTCAGCGCGCAATCCACAGACACATTCCGTACATGTTACTATGTCAAGTGTTCCTGCCTGACACACAGGTACACAGTACATGTACAGTACAATATTGGAGATTGTATGATCTGACGTTTACGTGAAATAGACACAGTTCTGTCTTTATACAATACCTCTAACACCACTTGAAGCCATTCAAAATGCGACACGACGCATCCCATCACCACGCATGCCTTCTCTCGTCTTCACCTCGCGCAACAAGAAACGCTTATCTACATTGCAGTGTATACCAGGACCAGGATAAGTGTAGACTTTTGTGTGTGTAAATGTGTGTGTGTGTGTGTGTGTATGTGTGTGAATGTGCGTGTGTGTGTGTGTGTGTGTGTGTGTGTTGAAAGGGAACTATGGTCTAGGTGTATGATGTGTGTGTGTGTGAGTGTGTGTGTGTGTGTGTGTGTGTGTGTGTGTGTGTGTATGTGTGTGTATCTGTCACTATCCGTGTGTCTGTGCAGCACACCGGACCTGATTGCGTACCTGAAACGAGTGACGGGTGACGAGCAGCTGTACCGCAAGCACCTGCGTCACCGTTACACACCCTCTGCTCCGGGTGCCGTCACAGAGGAGTACAGGCAAACGTGGGGAGTGCTCGCCGATCGACGACGATGGTGTAAGCTGGCTCGCCGCATGCTTGTGTCGCCCGGTGTTGCGGAGCTAAAGGAGAGAACGCTACATCCTGACTCGTCGTGCGCTCCCACCGGCAGGGTACGCTCATCTCGGGGAACAAAGGAACACAAGCTGAGTGGTAAGACTTAGAGAAGAACTCCATGCCCTCGGCTGCCGATCTCGTTACCAACCCTGCGGTGATACTGGTTGAGTTAAAACCGAATAGTACTTCTGGTGTGACCCGTCCGGGGCACTGGCGAGCAATACCAGCACTTCTGGCTTGAATTAATTACCAACATGGTGCCATCAGTCTGTAACTGGCGTGTCCACTGATCATTACATCACACGCTCGTTCAAATGCTGGTATACGAGGAGACAATACCGGAGCACCGCTACGGGTCAGCCGGCCAGTTTCTACCTAAGAGATTCAATGATGCCGGCATGTTGCATACACTGCATAGGTCAACGCGTGCCGTCGAGACGCTCAGCTCTGAGTTCCGCATCATTAGTTGACGCGTCACTCAGCTGACATGGTTTCACTCAGCTCTACCGTCTCTAACATGCTCTGCCATTCTCGCACTATGCGCTGGCACACTTGATGACAAGGCTTAGAGTTCCTCTTGTCGCTATTCGATTTACTTTCGTGCTTTTCGTAGAACCGTTTTCCTTTTGAGCAGTAAATTTTTGCCATACTCAAATTAGACCAGTTCAAGCTTTCTGTGCTATACATACGAATTCAGAGAATTCCCTATTGATATTTATTACACTATCCGCTAGACTATTTATTTATGTTGAGGAAGCGTCTGCCATACGTGTGAAAGAGGGTCTTGAAATTGTTGAAGATAATCTTGTTCCAGGTGTTTAACTTTCCCAATGATTATCTGTTCGGACTAGGTTAATCAGGCTAAAGTGTGTGCTGCACAACGGCAGAATATCTTTGTGGATATAACTTGTACTGAGACTGATGTCGAGTGAGTGGCCGCAAAAGAGAGGGACGGGTGTGTGTGTGTGGGGGGGGGGGGGGGGGGGGTGCTAGACTCCGAGCCTGCATGGAACTTTTGACTTTTTTTTACTAAGCATACTTTTACCCATCACATCTGGCACGTCTCATAATGAACAATACTAAGAAACGGTTTTCTTGCCCTTGTTCTTCTCGGCACATGTACAGTGCTGGGAACTGAAATCCGACCCCGTGAGCGGTGGGTTCACATTCTTTGCGATGATTTCTTTCGGATTTCAGTTGCCAGCACAGTACATGATTGTGTATGTTTCGGAATAGCAGACAGCAGTATCAGTTACCTGCTGGATCGACATTACGAATGCTTTATGGAATCAAGAACCTAAAGATGACGGACCGTCGGTACGATGGACACCATTTCTTCATAATTATTATGAATACCATTGTGTTTCGAACTGTAGAAAATGCGATTCCTACAAAGATGCACTGGGGTACATGCAATACTGTAGTATCCCGATCTATGAAATCAGAAGAGTACCGGTAGGTCAGTGTCGTGCAATGTTATCGCATGATGGGTGTGTTAGTGGACATTATAGCGGACCTTGTAGTTCCTTGGTCCTGTTTGGTTTCTATAGAGAGTTTACGCTTCACGTCTTTTTTTCTTCAATTTCGAACTTGAGATTTCACGGCCAAACTGGCGCTACTCACAATAGACCAATCCCGAAAAGATTGTCTGGGTTCGTGAAAGGGGGCACGCGTGCAGGCCAGCACGTGTGAAGTGCATCGTTTTGTATTCAGTTTGTGTGTGTCAGCTCATGGCGGAGGAGAGAGAGACTTTTGCTCGCCGAGCTGAAGCTAAAGGATTTGATGGAGTCCTGCCAGCAGCTAGTCAAAGGACCTTCGGTACCTTAGGCAGACCCTGACGGAGTTTGGAGGCCAGCTAGCTCTCGGTGAGGAGAGAAACATTCGCGTGGCGATCGACTCTCCCTAAAAAATACAAGCTACATAGCGCCGACATACTGCAACAGCTACGATTTCAACTAACTTCTCGATCTGCTGCTTCACAAAGTTCAACTATTTACAAGTCCTGACTGTTGTAGTCTGAAGCTGGAGTCTCATCTCCCACCTACAGGTAGCTTTTGGAGCTGATGGATTTCCCGACTTGGACTCCTTCCGCAAACTCTCGCAACAGTACTACAGTGTATGCTGTGTTCCCGCACGCTCGTGTCGACATGTCACCGAATCGCGGAGGCGGAAGAGCTTGACGAACTCCGCTGACTCCAGGTTGGCGAAATACCGCCGTCGTCTTCGTTCTTATCGCTGGAGACATTCTCCCCTTCCAGGACCGGCGCATAGTTGTCGTCCCGGAGGTAGAGACTATGTTGTGTTTCGAAAATAGTTCTTCATCAAGCTCGCGCGAATGATGATTCTCATCATGAACTCGTTCCGACGTTGTGACATGGCGATGGTCTTTGGCGGGGCACTGGCTTGGCGAAAACGCAATCTTCTTGCGCAGTAGAACATTGACCGGCTGCAGATGAGTACAGTCACTTCGTGCTTGGTCCTGTTGGAGGAAACCTGACAGGAAAGAGGCAAGACTCATCGAAGACGAAGCGCTCGCAACAAACAATGGCGCTCGAAATATCTCGTAAGATTTAGGGCCTATCGCTTTGAGCCACAGCGCTCACAGCCTTGCGTACTTCATCAAAGTGAGCTCTACATGTTCGTTGACCTCTTCACACTACACAGAAGAGCGAAACAAGGATTATGTCTTAGCATTTCCACTCCAACAGCAGACCATTACCAGTGCGAGAGAGAAAACTACAAAGGGCTTTGCTTTCTGTCGCATCGTCTCTCTTGCATGCAACTAACGAGAAAACCGTGTACTTCTACCCTCGCATTCACACGCGAACTATCAAACACGTCCTGTGCCGCATGCTGATCAGGTAGTGCCATGTATGTGTTGTACAGTGTACTCTCACATAGTCTCAGTTGACATGCCCCCTTTCGAACCCAGACAATCTTTTCGGGATTGGTCAACGTGACAGAGGGCCAACGCATGGTGAAACCAAGCGATTCAACGCATGTTTTTTTTCTCACGTTCGAATTAGGAAAAAACGTGAAACGTAAACTCTCTAAAAGCGATTCTCACGGAAGCACAAACTTTCGCTCAGCGTCCAATGTATATGTATCGTCTCGAACATCTGCCGTGTACGTATTTATTTATACATGTACATCTCCTGGCTTGCCGTATTAAAAAATTCTTACTTACAAACGCCCTCTCCTTTCAGTGACACGCACGTAACCGCAAACTAGGGGTGTGCGGATAATGAATGCTCGAAAAGGTGGCAGATTCTGCTCGAAAAGCAGTGAAATAATTGGCAGAACCATACAAACCTTAGGCGGGCAATTCCTCGAATTCTGCTCCATTACTTTATCCACATACCAAACATGCATGAAACATACCAGAAAAAGTACCGAATTCTGCCAATTTTTCTGCCGGCATTATCCGCATATGCCTACCGGAAACCAGTATGTGAAACGATATTATACATCCTGACCTGGGCATGGTCTGTGGCTCGGCTGTTATTGCCCTGTCGGACGTAAAGGTACCTGAGACTGACTCTCGACTCAACTCTAATTACGTTTCAGCGTTCACGTTTATCACCTCAGTGAATATCGGAGAGAAACTAGGTGCTTTCGAGGTGGAAGAAGGAAACTTGCTGTCCAGGCCAGAAGGCAGTTCTATGTGTCAGCAGTCCAGAGCAAGCTCGAGTACGCCAGCACATCCTATGTACAATATACACCGTTTCGCCCAAAATGCACCCACAATCTCCGCAGTTCACTCCTCTCTGCCCTGTTCTCCCTTCGCCGTGACTTCACTCACACAGATAGAGTCACCCGAGGCCAAGCCAGTAATGCCCTCTCTTTACCCATTGTGCAAACTCAAGCTGGATACATAATTATCAAAATTTTCATTTCATTCCTTGGTACTGACCGCTTTAACGCGCTCCCCGAATCCCTTCGCACTAATCACATCCCCAATTCCTATTCATTTTGCCAGGAACTTAATTTAAATTGACACATTCGCTCATCTTGGGCACCCTGGACGAAGACCTTAGACGTGACACATTCATTCATCTGGGGCACCCTCAAAGAAGACCTTAGGGTCTGCTGGGCACGCTAAAGATGATAAAATAGAATACAAAATTGACGAAGTAGGCTATCTTCAGCAAGGGGATGGTGACGGATGGCTAATCCAGAATCAAATCTCTTTCGGAAATATTCCACACCATACACGTACAGGTGTAGGCTTGAACTGCGGCACTGGTTGTACACTGGCTGATCTGTTGGTCTTTTAGAAGATTGAACATGGAAAAGCAGACAGCATCCAAAATCGAACTAAAATTGAAGAAACGAAAACCGGGGCTTCACTACAGGAAATGATATTGTTAGAAAGGGGTGGCAAATCATGTAATGGTGCAGGGAGGTTAGTCTAACAAATAAAGAGAAAAAGAGATTCGGCGCACTACCATGTAATGTATGTTACAAGTTGTGAAACTAGGCAATTTTGATGTATTATGCATGGAATGCAAGAAACTTCAGCGTCGCCGCCGGCTCCAGGGTTCATCACTTGGACCCTTCTTGTGCTTGCTAGCTGCGTGTCTTACATCAGCTTCCCTTCGTTCTTCTGTAGCCTCGACATCCCAGGGGTCTGAGGCGAATGCATCGAATACGGACGTGTCGTACCCGTTCGCGTCCTCCGCCACACGTGTGGAATCGAGCCAGTCGGCCGCATCACGTTCCTCGATGCCAGTCTCCCACGTGTTGGCCCCGTCACGATGCGCCTCAGTGTCGCGGAAACCTGCGGCAGCCTCGGCCAGCGGAGCACGAAGGAATGAGTGGGCGGCCAGCAGCACCAGTGCCAGAGAAACAACACGAATTAAACCCCTCATTTTAACAATCAGCAGTCAGAGCTGGGTTTCCACATATATCGGAGCAATAATGACAAACCACCGCGAACCTGTTATTTGCACCCGGTTATCATTTGACCTACTTCAATGGACCGACAGTTTCAAAGACGCTTGCAGTCCGGGCACTGTAATTTATAGTGTTTCGCGAAGCGAATCTCGGAGCCTCCCTTTACTCGCTTGTGCTTTGGTGGTGCGTTGGGAAATCTGGTAGGAAGCAAACGAAGGCTTTGATGGAATCCCTTGGCGCCCCTGACGACTCTTTCTTCCGCATTTGTCTGCAGTACGGCTGGTCATGATAAGGTCGGGTTGCGGCCCTCCGTCACGCTTGATCGTTTTTACTAGAGAACGTGAAAGCATTTCGTCATTACCAAGAGGAATACTGTATCGGTTATTACAGAGATTTTGCAATATTCTCAGTCTGAGCAAAACCGCTACGCCTATACTTATTATTCCCTGAGGCGACATACATGTACATGTACTCCCGAAACATGTCTGAACCCCGGGGATCCCCAGGCTTCCGTCGTGAACACATGTCTTTCACCGACGGCTGTATGGAAAGGAAGATAACCCGTTACCTCCCCAGCTTAACTGTTCGTACGCGCACGTCTCTCGCCATGAAACTCTATGTATCCTTGCGAAAGCAAATTGAAAGCGCGCCTTCAAGTAATCTCTGGTTTACGGAAACGGCCATCGGAGACTCTGGCATCCGTGGCGAATCGTGGGAAGGATGTGACGTGGCCATCGGAACTTAATCCTTGGCAGCACTCTCACTAGACTTCGTGCAGATGTAAAGTAAAGTACAGTTCAGTTAAAACATCTGTGTCACCATCTGCTGCACAATTGTGTTGCACAACATTTATCTCCTTCTCCATCTCCATTCTCCATTTATCACAACATTTATCTCCTTCCATTGTTTGAATATGCTGCCACAGCCTGGTGTGGCCTAGCTAAGGTCTTATCCGATTCCATTGAAGTTCATCATAAGAAAGTTCTAAAACATTTTTCTTGAAGAAACCTTCCTTTCCCTCCAATG